GTCCATTTTGTCCTTCATTTTCCTAGAGAAAATGTCAGCATTTACTTTATTATTTCTGTAATTTCATTTGTTTGTGTGCATAGTTGTGGAGCAGAATATGCCACAAGAGAACACGCATATGATTAAAATATGAATTATGAATAACTTCAGTTTGTTAAACAAGATGAAAACTCATTAAATCTAAAACCGATCATGAAAATGAGGTTTTCTCATGCTATATATTACATACATAGTCACCAGAATAATTTTCTCTGATAGATTATTGACAAAAAGACTAGTCATATCAGAAGCAGTAGTATGCAAGTATCAACAACAAAAAATGCACATTCCTTTTGTTAGAAGCTTTTATTTGATCTATTGGCTACTATTATACGATTTACTATTCTGAAGTTATTTTCAATCTATTAATTACAATCTCTCACACTCACAGCCACTTTTGGCTTGATCTTGTATAGATATTTTTTTATTTTATGATGTGATGCGGTCTGGTCTGTTTGTATACAAACGAAGTTTGTCTGAAATATACGATTCATAAAGCGAAGGCTGATATTTGTGTTCTGGACTGAACCGGGCTGGGTTGATCAAGAAGCTACTATACAGGGGGATGAATAAAGACTGAGCGGACTCAAGGCTTTTAGTGTTGGTTAACGCATCGCTGGTTTAGCACAGCGGCAATGTCATTTTAGTTGGTGTTCAAATTGGCGGCTTTGTCCCGTGATATTTGACCGGCCATAGGACATAACATTTTTCAATGTTGTATTAGAAACTATTAAAGAGAAGTTTATATCCTTTTGTTTTCCAATAATTATTTGAATTGTCCCATTTCTTTTCCAAAAGGTGAAAATAAATCAACAATATTCCAAATCCATTCATTTGTATAAAATGACCACTACTTATAGATTCAAATAATGTACAATTATTTATCGTAGGATAGCGAAACGATATTTCTGCCTTCGAACAATCATCATTCGGCATGTAAAATAACGTGAGAAATTTCAGTGAACATATTGATATGATGGAAAGAAAAGTCAAGATTCGATTGATTTACTCATTATGAGTTTTATTCAACATTACTTCTGTTTTGATTTAATGTAATAATTACTCAATGTAATATTTCTTTTCTTTTCTCGTATGATATTTTATTCTGTATAATATACGATATCCTTGTATTTAATTGACATGAACTATGCTCTATATGTGATTTGTGATAACTGAGTATTTTTCACATATGTGATTTCATTCTAATTATTAATCAAAATGGGTGTACAATCAATATATAAATGAGTGTATTTTCGACTAAGGTCGTGGTCGTCATCATAGTGTTTTGGGCTAATAAAACTTCGCTTATACCAGTCTTGTGTTCTTACTTTCGCGTCGTGGGAATTGTGGAGGTCCCTTCGTTCCGAGCATAAGTGGTCAGCGATTCCGACATAACAATCAGCGACGACCAGATACAAAAAGTAGCATTCGATTCCAACACAAAACATAACACATATATTACGTAACTAATAAATATTTACGAGGTTTTCGTCAATAGTAATTGAGTTTATATAATTCAAGAATACTTTCATTAGTACAATTATTGATTCACTTTAAATGCCTACTGAATAGATAACTTCAAATAATCTTATTGGTTGACTCGCTTGATAATCAGTTGATGATAACGATGATGAATAGTCAGAACAGAGGGCAGATTATAACTGTGTTCTAAACATCTGATTACTCATCATCTTAACTGCATTAACAACATTATCCAATGAGTGTCATCCCTGAATATTATATAAATTAGCAATCGTTTTCTCATTAAACGGACTTATGCGCTATATTTGTCCCACTGAGTTTTATAATACCGAAAATAAGGACTTAGTTATTGTAAGTCGCATTAAAAAAATAATAGAGTGAAGTTGATTTAATGGTTAAATAATATTGAATATTTCTCAAGATTCTCTGTCTGCTTATGGTTACCCAAAGCACTAGAAACTCAGTTTTTAACAGAAGACGGCCGTCCTATAATGCCTAGACGTCTACATTAACTTACATTATATAAACCCCTAATGACGACTGGATTCAGCAAAAATATTTAGGTAATAATCAAAACGGAATATAGTGTACAACTAGTGAATAAATGCTTATTAACCACTAACCAGAAATTTACAATTAAATTTGCAAAAATCTCATGCCTTCTTAATACGAACAATTAATATACATAAGTGTATATTTGTTTTTGGTATAAAAGGATTCGTGGAGATAATTTAATTATTATAAATTGGATCACAAACCGATCTTAGCTAGACCACTATTGAAAATCTGTAAGCACTACATGGAGATTTTTCTCTGTTATTGGACTCTGTAGCACTCTACATTCACGAAGCCGTGATTAAGAGTCAAACCTGAGACCTTTGGTCCTGTGCACAAATGACTAAAGTCTAAACCACTGAGTCGGCATCCAATTGTGTTAATGTCTAGTCTTAATCAATTCACAATATTGCTTAATTCTCGACTAATGTCTGCGGTGAATAGTTGTCTCACACTAGACATAGTTGAATTCCACTGGTTGCGGCTTCTCATTAGCACTCTACTAGTTAAATTTTGAAGTTAATCACTAGTTAGCATATGATTATTGTTGATCTAGTAAGATCTATCCAATAGCTATTTAAGACGACTAATAATAAGTTATTAATATTTCATTTGAATAATAAGAAATTCATTCAGTGCAAAATCAAACTAAACTAGTAAATAACAATGAATATAACCATGATTTTCAAATAATAGGAATCAAATAACTATTACATAACGTTAAGGACAAAAAATCATTTTCTTTTCAAGTGCATCAAAAACAATTTTTTCAACAACAAAAAACAAAAAAAGCAACTCAAAATTTACATACACACGTACATATTAAAAGGATAGTTATAGTATAGATATTGTTACATAAAAGAGAAATAAATGAGAGAGAACTAAGAATATGAAACCTTATGACTATTAATAAGTAACTAACAACCACTACGACTATTACTGATATTACCAGTATAATAATCATATATATATAATTACATATTTAATCATGCTGTTAATAAAACTACATTTATCTATGAACTTAAAGAGGATAGTGAAAAAAGAAATTGTGAAATGTACTTTTAATCTTTCATTCTAACTAACCATTTAAAGATGGTTTTATAGGTTATTCTGTACGAAATAATCATAAGGACAGAATAATTAATTTGTTTTTTTTTGATGAATTGTATCACATTTTTGTTGTCATTATTTAGAATCAAAATAAGTTGATGAGAATATGATGGGAAAGAAGAAATGATGAAACTAATCTCAATAGTTACTATTTATTTACATACAGAATACAAACTTTTGTTTGTTTTTTGTCACTTAATTTTGAGTTAAATGTTTTAGATTAGAATGGTTGTCTTGACTGCTAAACTGTAATTCTTAAATGATAATTATGAAGGAGAAAATAACCACGTCTCAAGTAATGGATCAATAAAGTGTTTCAAGTGAATGTAGGAAGAATAAACTCTAAGCATATCTTGAAAATATGCATTCAAAAAACATCTAAAAGTAATATCAACATATACAAATTTTTTGGTTAGTTGTATTTGACTTATTATCAACTATTATGTTTTCAGTATGGTGGCAATGTAGGTTGTTGAATTTCATTTAAATCATAAACCAATCTAAGTTAGACCACTATTGAATTTCTCGAAGCACTAGACAACCGTTTCGTCTTGGTATGGGACTCCTCATTAGTAATCATAATCTGACGTTCGTGACCCTCTACCTCTAGACCACTGAGTTGGAATCTGATTGTTTTAATGTTTAACCGCAATCAATCCACGACATTGCATGACCAGGGGAGCTAATATGTTTCAAGTGTGGAGCAGTTACCCACCGAAGGCGATAGAAGACGATCAGGTAATGTCGTGAATTAATTGAAGTTAAAGATTAACACTGTTGGATGCAGGTTCATTGATCTAGAGATTAAGTATTCGTGCACGAAACCTAAGGTGCTAAGTTGGAGACCCACATGAGGAATCGTGATTACGTGCTGCTAAGCAGTTCCATACTTGAACGGAACAACCATCTAGTGCTTTCAGGTCTCACACAGCGATATAACTTAGATCGGTTTATAATTTCAATGATATTATGTTTGTAGCTAATTTTTAGTCAAATGGATTTTCTTTATGTCTTGCACAAAGTACTTAAGGGGGAGATTTTCTGAATACTAACTTTAAACGAAGACGGTAATTTTCATGAAAGCTTTTCTCAATTATATTCATTTAAATGGACTAGAATTACTCTCATTTCAAGATTCTGGTTAATTTATAGTTTCTACAATAAGTATTCATTCAAACGATCTTATTGTTTACTATTGACAAACCTGTATAAAATAAGGTGGCTTAAGAATACATAGATCACCCTTCAATTACACTGACACTAGGAACAGAATGGAATCGAAAATATTTATACTATAGAAGAACCGAAGAATAACTACTAAAAACATTGCTTTAATTTCAAAGTAATTTATTGTCCGTTTAAACTAAGTGACAAAGTAAGATTCCATTTAAGAGGGTACCCTAAACATCAAAGTTAACTCGTCTTAACTCAACTAACAATTATTTTTAATGTATTTTATTTGAGAAATCAACCAAGTACTTCATTTTATGATGTGAAGTATTGGTTAATTTATTTTTGTTAGATCCCGTCTTTGAATAACTTATATTTTCTTTATATAAGCTCGTTTAACTTTAACCAGTTTGATTGTTTACAATATTCTTCTCCAAATGACTCAGGTACTAGTGAAATTTGTGTTAATAGTATGTCCCAAACATTATGATTACATGTAAATTTCATAGTTCACAAAATAGGAGAGGGTCGTTTTTGAAAAAGAAATCAGCTTCACTGGGGTATATTAGCTAAGAAATTTCCGTATATTTGATCATAAATGTAATTTTTATTATTCATAAGAAAGAAATAGATATTTTACTTACTTTTAATTGCTTCCGTAACACTTGGTTCAAGGCGCTGTTTATAAATACCTTCGCCAGATAATGATGAAGCAGCCAATTCATCTTGTGTAAAAAAACTTTTCATCAGTAATCTGATTAATCGTGTAGCACTTCCAGATGATTTTACAATTAAACTATAAAATATATCTTTGGATAATTTCACATTTGGATGAGCTTCTGATAGTAATATTTGACTCTATATCGGAAAAGAATAAGAAAAAGCTATTAATGTCATCATCGCAAGACAAGAGGTTACTTAATCTCCAAAATAAACTATCACTTACTATGACTGTAGAGATTTAATTATATTTAAAATGATAGACGTTTGAAGAAGTCACTTAGTTCAAACACACATTAGTTCGCAACACAGCAGTCAAAGCCTAATAAATTACCTACGTGTTATTGGACAAATATCATCGAATTAAGGATCTAAAATATTTTTGTAAATCGTCTTCAGACATAAGATACAAAATAAAATCAATCATGATGTCACAATAAATTTTTCTAACTATAAAGTTGATTTATTTATTGGATGAAAAGTATTGGTTTAGTTACCGATATGGCTGATTTTAACCAAAAATTATCGACCGAATCTCAATAATTACATCCATGCGTTCGTTTCACTTTGATATAAAAATTCATTTTCTAGGTTCATTTTTAATTTATTTCAGTCATTATATAATCGAATTTTTAGTAAATTTGTAATTTTGTAGTCAACTGGAAAAGTTGCTTTTTTCGTAATGTGAAATAAACAATGTTTCCGCCTAATTTCCAAACTTCCTGATATTTGATTTAAATAATGTCATTATAAAATAACTATCCCAATATACTTCAAATAATGTACTCTTGTAAATTTATAAAGCTTGCGTTATAAGAATTATAGTAAAATGTAATCATATGGAATCAGTGTTTTACAAATATAGAAGATAAACTGTTTAGTTTAACTGCCAATATGGCATCTAGCATAATAAATAACTGGTTTTTAAATAAGGGATATATTGTGTCCCTTTACCAAACACTTCAGTCTAGTCATGTAATCAACTTAAGCGTTATTTTCACGATAAAAACTAGTCGATATACATATATGATAAGTAGTATTCTAGTCCAGCCATAAATTAGAATTACTCAATAACAATCTTATTTATTAATCACCATTTATTTTACTTTTTTTAATAAATGTCACTCTTAATATCATCCCGTAGAATAATTCACCTAAAAAGATATACGTGCATGTGAATGGATGTATCTGTTTTAGTAAATTTCACTTTTTGAAAACATTTAGCTCTTATTTATTTTATACTTCTTTCTATTGTCTTTATGTGTTGTATGTTGTATGTAGTTTTCTGTCAAAGAAACAATTAAATTGTCTTCATCACAATATTGCGTGTTATATTTCTTACTGTAAATGTTGACACCACTATCATTACTACAACTTTTATCGCTTTTCTTTTCCTTAAAAGTAACTCGACTCATTCAAACACCATACATGTTTGATTAGGAATCATGTTGTCCTTTGGATCCGTGCGTTAATCAAACTGTACAAGTTTATACAGACAGTGAAGTATTATTTATCTTGTTTTCTCTCTCTCTCTCACACACAAAATTGATACTAAGTTCCACAAATAAAATTGCATTTGTCTGTATAGTAAAAATAATCTTTTTTTAAATATGTCATCGTATAATATCCCTACATTTGCCTACCAGTCTGTTCGTTCATTTATTTTTTTTCTTAAAGGAGAATGAAAAATAAATGTTAGTTTATCTCTTGTTACATCTCGGCTTGTGAATTTGTATATAAACAATTTGTATATCAAATTTAAAGAAAAAAAATGAAAACAAATTTATGAATACCAGTGCTATCGTGTTGTTTTTTAATAAGTTGAAATGAAATAAGTAAAAAAGAAACTACATATAAACTGAGACAAGAATAAGTGTACATTATAAAGGATAATGATGAATTTATCTTGACTATATCAAGAAGAAAGAGAAAAAAAGAAAATTCTATCAAAAATGTTTTATCGTAATAATAATTATTATATTATCAATAATAAAATGAACTACATAACTCTCTCTCTCTCTCTCTCTCTCTCTATATATATATATATATATATATATATATATATATATATATATAAGTCAAGACAAAATGCCATCTTCCAAAATAAATTTAATTAATGATATCGTTTGACATGATTATTATTATTGTTATTTCTTTTCAGTTCCTTAAAACTACTGAAAACTTACTGATATATATGAAATATGAAAATATTGGGTAAAAGGATATTTAAGCAAACAAACACACATACATACGTATATATATGCACAAAAGCACACACGCACATATACACACACACAATTACCACACGCATATACCAAATAAAATATTCAATAATAATAAAATTCGTGTTTTACATGAATTAAGATTATCAATAATAATAATCATTGGATAATAATGTAAGAAATAACTTTTCCAAATTGAAAATCATGAATAATGAGAAATATTTTAAAAATAAAATAATTTAAAAAAAGAATTATTAACTTAGTTAAATATAACTATGAATATAGTCATGAAACTTAGTTATTGAATTCATACTTAGTTATTCATGAATATCAAGTTAAATAAGAAATAAATAAGAATGATCGTTTATGTTATTTTGATTAAACATTTGTCATTAAGGTGTATCAGTTTAATGTTTGAAAGAAAAAAGAAGAAAAAAATTTGTATATAATTAGTGAAAAGATAATTGAATAAACAAACAAAATTTTTAAAAAATACACATTTTTTTGCTTTTAATCTTAAATACTATTACTAAACAATATTTTAATGATAAAATATATGGAATATTTAATGGGTAAATAAAATACCTCAATACTATAGAAAGTTATGATTGAGCTAAATATAAAATGGTCATATTTACTGTAATTATTAAAATGTACAACATTGAAAATGGTTGTAATACTTTAGTAATTTAAGTCAAATAAACTATTATTTAATGTTAAATTTACCAATCTATAGGAGATAACAAATATTATGCTTATCTGTGAAAATTATATTTTAAATAATCTCAACGATTGAAATTTAAATAATTCCAACGTTTCGTCCAGCTAACTTGTTCAACATATCATTTGTATAAAATATAACATATTTTACAAAGATTCTATCATTTTCATTGCCAAATATTACTGAAATTAAAAATATTAAATGTTAGTTGTATATTGAACAATTTAAATATTCCTCGATGTACTAAACAAGTATGCCAATATTCAGTAATAGATGAATTAAACGTAAGTATATTTATCCTGAAATCACCACAGTTGTATTCAGTAAAGCTGTAACATTATCCAAAACACTTGTGATTTGCGTATAAATATGACTAATTATGAGATGTCGAATTTATTTTCATCATTTAAGGCTACTTTTGGCAGAACACATGAATATTCACTACCCACATGTGTCCACATTCGTACTTATGTGTAGACGTTCTGGCTTCTTATTTGATGCAAGTGAATAATGTAAGGCTATATAGACATTATTCAATCAAGAATATTCATTTCGCAGCATTCTGTAGTCTCTGTATTCTCCGTTACTATATTTTGTTGATAATTTCATTAGTTTTTATTCATGAAGGGATGATTTTTTAAAATAAAGAAAAACAATTTATGATAAGAACATTCATAAAATATATTTATGCTTTGATAATCCTTCAATCCATAAATTGTTACCCTACAAAGGAGTGTTCATCATAGTGGGGAAGTAATTACTATTCATTACCTCATAAATGAACTTTTACATCAATTCACATATGTTGTAGTTAACAATATCAACTATGAGACTAACTATAGAAGTTATTGAGACAGCGTAATAAAATGGTATATATATATATATATATATATATATATATATATCAATTATAAGTTTAAACACAACTTTAATCCTGAGCTCTATCTCATTTCGAATTATATGAATTATAACAGCTAAACATACATAGACCAATAATCGAACAACTTAAGATTATGCTTAATATGAAGTAATTTATTCTATATTTATAAAAGTCATTTATTAGTATGTCCTTACTTGTTTGAAAGAAAGAAACAAAGAAAACGAGGAGACTGTAAAAAAATAATAAATAGAGTAATATAAAAAGTAAAACTCATATAAAAACTGTCTGATAAGATGTACACCATTCATAATCTACAAAAAATTCATTGGTGTCTAATTTTCATTAAGCTTTAATCTAGTCTATCTTATTTTCCTTTCTTGTTTTTCAATCATTATATTCACTGTTCAAAGATGTACAATGTCTATTTTATGGATTTAATAACGTTTAATAGTTCAATATAATCAAAGCTCATATATCGAGTAGCATAAACACATTATCAGTCTAAATAAAGGAAATATTCAAATGGAAAAATTATTAATAATAATAATAAGCAATACATATTATTTATGCATCAAAGTTACTTAAATCATTCTAACAGTATTTTGACAGATGCCATAAATTATTCACAATATATTGTGTATTATATGTGAACTAACCTTATAGAATGATCAATTTTCAATGAAAAGAAAAATTTTCAAGTTAGAAAATCTCTAAAATCATTTTTGAATAAAACCGCATTATAAGAAAACATAAGTCTAGATAATGTGTTGAGTTTATAAAAAGAGAAATTAAATAAAATATCTTGTTATTACTAGCCATGGTTCAATCACTTTTCTATACATTCTTATATCAAAATAATCATTCTGTAATGTATATATTTCTCCTTTTATTTGACAAACTATATCAATTTGAAATAAGAGTGTAATAAATGTAACTATTTCTCATTCTCACATTTGTTAACATGTCTCCAAATGCACTCACAAAAACTCGGTAGTAAGAATAGAAACAATTAAACATCTACTCAAGGTTTATAAACTACATATTTAATCTTTAGTATATGAGAATATCCAGTCGTTAGTTTGATTAAAATAGTTAACTTAAATAGAATGACTGTTTTATGATCACTCAGTTTTGTATCATATTACTTGGTAAATAATTACTTATAGTTTTAATAATTGTAATAATAATAAAAATGACAATAAATTAGGTAAATTCAAAGTGGTAATTATAATATAAACCTATTTTACTGATAAACCAAAAAGGGGAGAATATTTCTTACTGAAAATATTTTCTATTTCGAGTATAGTTATTTTTT